AGTTCAGAAAACACCGGAAAAGGATGGGGAGGCAAAGAAAAACCGCGGTCAACATGGGTCGCAAGAAGGACGCACTCACCCTCTTGCGGTCGCGGCTCGGTCTCGTCCTCCGAAAGCCGCCAAGACTCATGGGCGATCAACCCCCCATCAACCAGATCCTCCATATCTTCTTTCTGGATCGTCGACTGGATCCAGTCGCCCTGAATCCAGCCGGACGGCAGAGCAGATCTCAACGACGACCCGCCCCGGCTCGTCTTCTTCCCCTTCACTTTCGTCATCGCCTTCTTTGCGTGCTCCAGAGCAGCGGTCTTGTCCTTCCCCATTGCGGCTGATCGAGCTCGGGCTGGGCGGCGGCGCCAAGAGCAGAGGTGGAAGTAATGGGGAGCAGAGGAAGAAGCAGGAGAATGGGGCACACAGTGCGAAAGCATCGGCTCTGACGCCTTATATGGCCCCATTCCCCAAGTGACTGACTTGTGAACACAGACGATCCTGTCAGATCCCGCAACAGGTGCGCGTGCAGTACGTGGTGAAAAAGGTGGCACGGGGATCGAGGTGCCCCTGCCTAATCTGCTCCAATTACTACGGCCCTCTCCGCCTCGCACGCTTCCCCAAATTTCGAATCCCGCAAGATCCGGAAACAATAGAGCAGTCAATCATGCCAGAGATTTTATGCAACACCAGCAGTCGAAAGTTATCAGCAAAAATTCACTCGACAACCTCTGAATGGCTCAAGGCGACTGAAAATGAAGTCGAAGCTGTTGCATGGTTGATTGGGTCGGAACCATCTTCAACTCCATTTCCACTCGAACCCAGAACCATTCGGGGGCTAATGACGATGCCATGTGCCTAGGGTAGGGAAATAGACCTGATCTAAGCACCCCTCCCAAGGACACTGCCCTACAGTCAAAGACAATCAAAGGACATCAAATTCTACCGACTGGAATCGCCTGAGTGCATGCCCACTCGACCAACATCTCCACTCGGATATCCCAATTCCATTCGACCAGTATATCATCAATCGACCATACAAGAAACCACTCGGAGTACAGAAGGCCTAAAGTCACCCCGGATAGCAACGGTCAGGCATTCACTCCGTAGTCTTAAGGATCATTTATATCACTTTAATGTTGACTTTACAAGTAACGTCCCCTCTTTATGTACATTGAACTTTGTGTAACGGGGAATGGATGGGGTCCTGGCACACTATATAAGCCACCCCCCTCCTCTGGGACAAGGGTGCGCACCCCCTGTAACTTCACGCATAATCCAATCGATTGAGCCTCCGGGCACCGAGACGTAGGGATGTTACTTCCACCGCGAAGGGCCTGAACTCGTACATCTTGCGTGCACAATCTCACCGTAGCTAGGATCTTGCCTCTACATTCCTACCCCCTATTCTACTATCAGACTTAGAACCACGACAAAGAGGATGAACATCCTAAAAATCTAGACTACAAGAGAGTAAAAACAATCCACACACATGGATCCGGCGACCCCCCCTCACCACCGACGACCAAGGTCACCGGCGGAGGGGAGTCACTGGAGAACAGCGCTGGAAGATTGGACTCTCATGGCGGCGGCTAGGGTTCCAGCCGCCAGGAGCGAGAGATGTCAAAAGGAAAAACGATAACCATTAGCCTAGCAGATAACCCATGGTCGTTTGTACAACGGAGGTTTGTTTTACGTTGTCGGTATAGTTGAGGGTCATTGGATGCAGCTCGTATACTAACTTTGGGGGTCCAAATAATGATGCAGCCCCCAAATCTAGGGAGTGTTTGGTTACTTTGCCGATTCAGCCAGGCCTGGCGAGCCTGGCTCTATTGAGCCAGTTTGAGGGGATGCATGCCAAAAAAACCAGATGCACATAGTTTGGTTGCTTGCATGCCCCTAATTGCATAAGACAACCATTTTTGACCCAGCGTTTGGTTGCCCGCATTGCATTAGGCGCACATATGCCATGGTGTTTGGTTGCAACCTGCATAAGGTGTTGTCACCACTTGTAACTAGTAGTGAGCTTACCACATAGAATCTGAACATGTAGCACCATCTACTTAAACAAATGACAGTTCATCCGAACTACTATCAAATGACAGTTCAAATTATTAAGAGTCATTGGCTAAATAGGGGATAGTTCATCGGTGCTACCAGATCTTCCTCTTCCTCTCCTCTTCTTTTGCTTTTGCTTCTGCTTCTGCTTCTTCTACTACTGCTGCTGCTTCTTGTTCTTCTTCCATCTTCTTCAAATCCTGCACTGATCTTTGTTAAGCCACATCACCTTTGCCCACTCCAACCTTTTGTTCTTCCAAGTGTCATTGTCAAATGCCTCCACACCATGGCCAGAGCTAACAACATCATTAGGCTCGCCATCTTCCTCCTCAGGCACGTGTTCATCAAAGCCCCACTGGAGAATCCAGTTATGCAGAATGCAACAAGCAAGAACTAGCTTAACCTGAGTGGGGTATGGGTGGAATGGCCTCTGATCCAGGATCTTAAACCTATTCTTCAGAGCTCCAAATGCCCTCTCAACAGTTACTCTAAGGCTGGAGTTTTTGAGATTAAACAGCTCATGTGCAGTCCTAGGATAGTTCCTACCAGAGAACTCGTTGAGATGGTACCTTGTTTTCCTGAAGGGTGGAAGAATACCCGGCCGACATGCATAGCCAGCATCTCCAAGGTAGAACTTGCCGTCGGGGATGTTGATCCCATCAGGTCGACTCATGCTGTCAGTGAGAATGTTAGCATCATGCGCTAACCCCTTCCAGCCAGCCAGCACATATGTGAACTTCATATCAAAGTCAACAGCAGCAAGCACATTCTGGCTTGTGTAGTGCTTCCTCCCCCTGCATGCTGCAGACTGTGACTTAGGAACTCTAGCAGTGACATGAGTACCATCTATTGCCCCAATGCAATCCTGAAAATTGCATCACAAGCCCGTGTTAGTTCTCAACTTGAACAATACAAGCATATCAAGCCACGAAAAGTGCATATTGTCAATGCTCACCTTGAAGTATGGATACCATCTTGGGCTTCCATGAATCTTGGGTGGTGTCTGGCCAGATGGTCTCCTGATCAGCTCTCCTCTAAGCTCCCCAACAGCATAAAGCACCTGCTTTTGAAGTACATAGAGATGGTCTCCATTGACCTCCTAAATGTGTTGTGAATGACCCTGAACCTCTGGTTATGGCCAACAACATGGAGGAACATCGCCACTTGCTCTTCGACACTGGTGTTGATGCTATCTTGTAACAGCACTCTGCTCCTGAAGGTCTCGAGAAGCCTGGCAAATGGTGCTCTTTTCATTCTAAGCATTCACAGAGCCTCGACGTCATTGCAATTGTAGATGTAGTTCAGATTTTGGATCCTCTCCTGTCCCCGGGGAAACAATGGACCATAGCGGAGCAAAGGTCTCCCAGCACGACGAACAGCTCTCTGGTGCATGAACATGACCCATGCCCTAATCACACTAATCAGTGCTGCTGCCTGGATTATCAGCCTCATCCTTGCGTCCATAACCTAGTCGACATCGACGGTTCGTTCAGTGGGAAAACGATCCTACACCTAGCTTAACGGCCTAACCACTGAGCTAACAAAGGGGGGGCTGCTTACCGGAGATGAGGACGGCGTAGAGGGAGCCATGGCACATACGGTGGCCAACAGCAAGGGCAGCACCAGATCCGCCGCAAACGTCGCCACCTCTTTCGCTGCCGCCTATAGCGCAGATCTGAAATCGCAGCCGCCGCCAGTGGTGAGGCAGTAGGGAAGATAGGGGGCAGTGGTATGGGTGAGCGAGTGAAAGGGGGTGAGGCTAATTTGGCGCCGGGACGGCGCGCCAGATTTCCATCTCCCGCCATCCCCCCTCGCCCTCGCCTCGCTCCCGCCCGTGCGACCTCGCGGCGCACTGAGCCTGGCTCGCGAGAAACTGTCGATCCGAGGGTTTCCAACAAACCAAGCTCTGGGCTGCTTTGAGGAGCGTGCGATGCAGGCCCAACAGAAAAATCAGGCAACCAAACAGGCCTCTCCCTTCCCGCGCGGGCCTGGTTGGGCTCGATGCGGGCAACCAAACACGCCCCTAATGAATAGGAGGATTTCTTAGATTCTTCCTCGAAACATTTTACATGCATGTCTCAGAAAACGTTTTATCCCCCCTCCCCCCACCTAAACCGAGCGCATGGCAGGCGACAGCACTGCAGCACGCACAGCACAACTGAATATAGTAACGGTCCTGTAGCAATATTGTCTATTCATTTGTGCTCATATATACGTGCATATATTTACCTTTATGAACGCACACACGCACATTTTATCCTTATGAGCACCTCCGAGAGACTATGCTGACACATCATCTTGAGATTTAACGAACTCGCCGTAGACGCCTCGTAGTCGACGGGGATGTTTTCTCCTGCTGAACGGACATCACTGGAAATTCTGAAGTAAATTCAGAATAAATGCAAACACCAAAACTTAACCCTGATGAGCTGGGATATCACTGTTCTTCTAACTATCCAAATTGGTCGTCAATACTGTCTATTCATCCAATCCATCCAATCCATGATTGCGTGACGATTTTGTACAGTATCAAAGTTGTACGCCACCGAGCAGACCAGACTGTGCGATACAAACGACGCTTCCTTTTCAAGCCTCCCGTCCCGAGCAGAAGAGAGAGAGAGAGGCTGGGTAGGTGGAGCGAGCCAGTACGGGTACGGCTCGACCGATCGGTGCACGACGACGACGGCGTAGGCGCCTAGCTACGACCCCACGCTGACACGTATAGGGCCCAGAGACAGTTGTACGCCACCTGCGCCGCTCCAATCTCCTCCCCGCCTCGCTCGCCGCATCGTAATCCTAGTCGGTCGATCCACCCCAGCTCCTCTCTCTTCGACCTCCAGCACAGCCCAGACCCCCTTTATACACGCGCCTCGCTCCTTCCCCCGCCAGCAGCCATAGCCCATAGCTCGCTCGACGGTCGGTCGTTTCATGGTTGGCAGCACCGTTCATGGGACATGCCTCCATCGCTCTCCTCCCTCCGCTCCCTCTTCGCGAGGACGCTGGGCCTGGGCTCGGGCGCCGCCGAGCACAGCGGGGATGAGGAGTCGCAGCCGCAGGCCGGAGGGGCTGGCGGGCCGTCGAGCGGCAGGCGGCCGGCGCCGGCGGGGCCTCCGGGGGAGTGCTACGCGTGCACGCAGCCGGGGGTGCCGGCGTTCCACTCCACGACGTGCGACCAGGTGCACTCGCCGGGCTGGGACGCCGACGCCGGCTCCTCGCTAGTGCCCGTGCAGGCGCAGCAGCTGCGGGCGCAGCCCCTCCCGGGGGCGGCCGCCGTCGCGGCCGCGCGGTGGCTGTTCGGGCCGGTGCTGGACCCGCGGAGCAAGCGCGTGCAGCGCTGGAACCGCTGGATCCTGCTGGGCCGCGCGGCGGCGCTGGCCGTGGACCCGCTGTTCTTCTACGCGCTCTCCATCGGCCGCGCGGGGCGGCCCTGCATGTACATGGACGCCGGGCTCGCCGCCGCCGTCACCGCGCTGCGCACCTGCGCCGACGTGGCCCACCTCGCCCACGTCCTCGTCCAGTTCCGCCTCGCCTACGTCTCCCGCGAGTCGCTCGTCGTCGGCTGCGGCAAGCTGGTCTGGGACCCGCGCGCCATCGCCGCGCACTACGCCCGCTCCCTCAAGGGCCTCTGCTTCGACCTCTTCGTCATCCTCCCCATCCCCCAGGTCAGTCAGCCACTCTGCCTCAGCTCAGTTGCCCACCTGTGTACGTATGACCTCCAAGTCAACCTCGATTCACCACCATTTTCCACCATGGAAATCAAGCTCTGAATCCTCAAACCAACCAGTAGAGCGACATGCCGCGCCCAAGTAGGTGGGAAATGAAATGCGGCAGAACAATGGGCGTCGCCCCATGTCTGGTTCTGGTTCTTGGACGAGACAGATCACAACGTCCTTGTCGGAAATGTTAGGAGTAGGGCACAGACGAGTACTCCTACATGGCACGTACAACAGTGCCCAGCAGCCAGTTCATGTGTGAATTTGCAGGTTGCCACCTATGCCTTGGTACGTACGAGTCCATGTGTCTACTGGCAGCGACGCTCCAGCCCCCACCAGCCTACTAGAATGGCCCTGGCCCTAGAAGAGAAGAGAATTCCGATCAAAACTAGCGACTAGCAGCGGGACGACAGAGACCGATGCGCTTGCGCTTACGGAATAATAAGTACGGATGGTTAGCGGGATGGCGCCAACCCGAAATGATTGGCGTCAATCAGAATATGACCGTGGATGCGATCGGGAGGCGACGATCATTGATGGAGGGAAATAACAAGGACAATGACGCTTCAATTATGCGTCCTGATCTGCATGCGCCGCGCTCATGGTAGGGGCGACTTGTTTGCACGTTTAAGCTTGCAGCAAGGAGGTTATTTAGTACTCTCTCCGTCCGAAAATATTTGTCGGGGAGATGGCTGTATTTTACTTCTAGTTACATCTATTTTTATTTATTTCTCCGACAAGTATTTTCGGACAGAGAGGGGGTAGAAGTCTAAAACTGTGATTTCTCATGCAGTGTAGTGGCGGAGATCTCATTTCACCACTCCCTCTCGTGTGGCTGGTGTTCCTGCAACTGACTCATTTTTCGCTGATTAATTATTTACCGGTCTTTGTCGTCCAGGTCGATCGCCCGGTCATTCTTGGTTTTTGTCGTGTAATATTGAGTGCATGTTCATTCCCATTTTGCATAATTGATGTTGTCAATTTTTACGTGGGGCGTTCGACGTGGAGTAGTATCTGCCTATTTGGATCAGCCATGGCCACAAAATGTTATTTCTGTCTCTTGTTTTTTTTTAATTTTGAGTTCTGTCTTTTTCATTATTTATGTGACGGTATACATGAAAGGTGAAGAGAAGTTATTGTGTAAAAGGACCGCTGAATAATCTGCCTGGTGGAATTAGGCATATTCTTTGTCTTTACTTGCTTACCTTCATGAAATACGGAAAATAAGCAAGCACAGAGTGACCGGCAAGTTTTTTTTTCGTAAATAAAAATGTATTGTCAGAAAGTTTGCGTTCTGAAAGTGGGGTGTTGAGAAAATATGCTTATGGTCATGGTGCAGTAGATTCTAGTTATCGTAACATATTAGCTATGTGTTGAAGATTTATTCTTGAAGGCCAATAGAGAAACTACCATAAGCTACCGAAGATAGAATTCGAACACATTCTTTTCTGTGCGGCAATACTTCCATTGAGTCTGTATGTGTGTGGTGAAAAAGTAGCAATATATAGAAACTTGGAGAACTCTGAACTCTTTTACATTGCTTTTATTTTCAACTAACTGATCCATGATATTGTGCAGATCATCTTCTGGCTGGTTATACCAAAGTTAATCAGAGAAGAGCAAGTTAAAGTTATCATGACGATACTGCTGCTCATATTCGTATTGCAATTTCTCCCCAAGGTGTACCATAGTATATATATCATGAGGAAAATGCAGAAGGTGACAGGTTACATCTTTGGAACAGTATGGTGGGGATTTGGTCTGAATCTATTTGCCTATTTCATTGCCTCTCATGTGAGTACTCCCTCTTCCATTGAGTAATTCGAGAATATATAACAAAATCATGGACAAGGAATCCCAGAGTACTTTTATGTGGTGCTATTTATTGCAACCAACGATTTGTGGCTGTTAGTTTGGTCAATGGTGTTTCTGCATTTACACCACACCGCAGTATTCTTTTCTGAGAAAATCAAGGGTTGGTTCAGAATATCTGCAAAAAGTCCTGCTTAAATTGCTTATGAAACAATAATTGTTTCAAGGGGAAGTACCAAACTGTTGCTGATGATAATGGAAAATTCGAATCGGTAGATGCACTGTTTATATTAAATGAAATACCGCTGTCCGTATTATTGCTGAACAGGAAACCTGTCCAGGCAATTACATGCATCATGCTGGTGCTGAATGCTGATTTTCTTTTATACTGTATTACATAAAAGCAGGCTGTTGGTCGAAAGATCAACATGCAAAATAAATAAAACGATAGTAAGATGGGCATTAAATAGCACAATGGTTTCAACACAAAGTTTGTGTAAGAGAAAAACTTGAACTTAACCACCTAGAAAATGCTCATATGTAATCTGTTGGCCTGCTTAAAAACATTTACTTTGTGGAGTTTCGCATGAAGCCATAGTTTATGCTAATTGGTTGGATCATGCCTGCTTATAATTATAGGATGTTGGTCACTTATCAAGTTTATGTCATTTCCAGATTGCAGGTGGGTGTTGGTACGTTCTCGCGATTCAGCGTGTTGCCTCCTGCCTACAATCGGAATGCGAGATAAACAACAACTGCAATTTGATGTCACTGGCTTGCTCCAAGGAGATGTGCTTTCACTTCCCTTGGTCATCAGACATGACTGCATTAGCATGCGATACGAACTTAACTTCTTTCAGCCAACAAAATGTGCCGGCCTGTCTAAGTGGCAATGGCGCCTTTGCTTATGGAATCTACAAGGGAGCCCTTCCTGTTATCTCGAGCAATTCACTTGCTGTCAAAATTCTCTATCCCATATTCTGGGGCCTCATGACCCTCAGGTAATTTATATAATATTATGTTAAATAAGTAATATCATCCATTTCTGAGATAGGAAGTGTTTTCCTCCCTGAAACTTCGATATCTGAATGTTCGGTAGTCGGCTCGGCTGTCATTCCGGTTATCATTCTATTTGCTGAGTTCTATTATATGGTTGTTGTGTGCACGTGTAGGTTTATTAATTGTTCCCTTATGAAGACAAAAGATAATTAATATATTGCTCTATCACCACCTCTACTCGCTTATTGTCTCACACAGTTCGTCTGAAACTATTGGCAGTACTTTTGGCAATGATCTTGAGCCGACGAGCAACTGGCTTGAGGTGATATTCAGCATCATCAATGTACTCAGTGGGCTGATGCTCTTCACGCTGCTGATCGGAAACATACAGGTGTGAAGTGCCGCCAATCTTTGGCAATCGTTCAGTTCATTTTTACTGCAGTTTATAGCTAGCTTCAGCTACTTCAGGGAGTATCAGTAACAAGCAATGGTGCATTTTTGCTGCAGGTATTCTTGCACGCCGTGCTGGCGAGGAAGCGGAAGATGCAGCTGCGGTTCCGGGACATGGAGTGGTGGATGAGGCGGCGGCAGCTGCCGTCCCGGCTGCGGCAGCGGGTCCGGAAGTACGAGCGGGAGCGGTGGGCGGCCATCACCGGCGACGAGGAGATGGAGATGATCAAGGACCTGCCGGAGGGCCTCCGGCGGGACATCAAGCGGTACCTGTGCCTGGAGCTGGTGAAGCAGGTGCCCCTGTTCCACGGCATGGACGAGCTGATCCTGGACAACATCTGCGACCGGCTGCGGCCCCTGGTGTTCTGCGGCGGCGAGAAGGTGATCCGGGAGGGCGACCCGGTGCAGCGCATGGTGTTCATCCTGCAGGGGCGGCTGCGGAGCACGCAGCCGCTGACCAAGGGCGTGGTGGCGGAGTGCGTGCTGGGGGCGGGGAGCTTCCTGGGCGACGAGCTGCTGTCGTGGTGCCTGCGGCGGCCGTTCGTGGACCGGCTGCCGGCGTCGTCCGCCACGTTCGAGTGCGTGGAGGCGGCGCAGGCCTTCTGCCTCGACGCGCCGGACCTGCGGTACATCACGGAGCACTTCCGGTACAAGTTCGCCAACGACAAGCTCAAGCGCACCGCGCGGTACTACTCGTCCAACTGGCGGACGTGGGCGGCCGTCAACGTGCAGCTCGCGTGGCGGCGGTACAGGGCGAGGGTGATGGCGACGGCGGTGCTCCCGCCGCCGCCGGCCGGCGCGGCGGGGCCCGAGGACGGGGACCGCCGGCTGCGCCATTACGCGGCCATGTTCATGTCGCTCAGGCCGCACGACCACCTCGAGTAGGCTCGGGACCGATCGGGACCGTGGTTTGTACAATGTGTATCTGTCACGTTGTAGCTGGCAAGGCTCGCCATTTATTAAGGATGATGAGATCAGTTGGTTTTGCCGATCGATCTTGCAGGCAGGATTGTTCGCAAGCAAAACATGGGACGTCCCCATTAATCATTATAGGTGAAGGCGCGGAGGATTTCTGGGGGGTGGGGGGTGGGGGGTGGATCCCGACACGAATATATTGCTCAAAAAGCTGCCAAAGCCAAGAATCGCCTCTTAAGCTTTGGTTGATCCAGTTTATAAGGAAAACCGGATCAAAAACATAAACAAGTTAGACCTCGTTTCAAAAACCATACATATAACAAGGTTACAGAAGGGGAAAAAATGGCGCCCAGAAGAAGGCACGACCTAGCTAGCAGGTAGAAAGACCAACACCATGAGAGACACAAGTAGATGTGGGGTGCCGTTGATGGATCACAATACCAATCTGCAAACAACCTAACGCACCACACCGGCGTGTGTATCGAGCCCCACGGTACAACAGAGGATCATCCATAATCAACGAGTGCCAAACCTTAACACGAACCTTGACTGGGAGATCCGCCACGGGTGGTCGAGACGATTAGCAGGTTGGGAAGGCATCATTGCGTCGTCACTGAGCAAAAGTGAACCGAGACAACACCAAGAGCCCGAGGCTCGCCGCAGCACAACGGCAACCATGGGAGGGTCTTGAGCATGCATAGCAACAAGACGGAGGCCACGCGAAGGACAGCCGAAGAGAAAACACATGAAGAAAAACACAGCAACATGGATGACACACAAAATGATGGTCAAAGGCGGATGAATGGTGGCGAAGGGCTCCAAGAGGAAGCAACACAACGACAGCCATTGGAGGGTCTTGAGCAGGCATGACAACAAGAAGACGCACCACCGAAGGGCAGGGGTCAGATGGGTTGGAGGGGGGATGTCACGGAGTCATGAGCATGAATCTCGTCGCACCACAACGACAGCCATGGGGGACTTGAGCATGCAGAGCAATATGGATGACCCACCAGACATTGGGCAGGGGCAAATGGATCATGGCAAAGGGCATGACGAAGATGCAATGTCGACGGTAGTACAGGATGGACAGGGCGGAGATGAGTGGATTGACGCATGGATTCTTGCGCGACGCCTTCAGGAAGGTTGAATGACGCCCACGGGCGCCATCATCGCAGGGCTTTTGCCAGAACCCACAGCTGCACCGGGGCTCCACAGCAGTGCCTCCAAGAAGGGAAGCGACACCGAGAATGCGTCGCCGTTGCTGCTGCTAGCAAGGAGCTAGCGAAAGGATTTCTCCCGGAGACAGAGCAGACCAAGGTCTTGCGCAGACACCACACCAAATCCATCACGCAACAGAGCCAATGGATGGGAGGGGTGGGTGCATTTTTGGATTAGAGGATCTGGGGAGAACCTGGCGATGGCACATCTGGGCGTGCAAGAGCATGTCGCACAGGAGCCCGGTGACCAGTCGAGGGCCACCCCAGCGCGGAACAGGTCCAGCGCACAGCCGATGGAGGCCCGACCGCGCCTGGAAGATGCAGATCCGTGGAGCTCCATGCAGAGCGGCGCCGTCGGTGCTCCCCGTGGAGCGAAGCGTAAGTGGGGGAAGTCGGTGGTGGAGGAGGGCGCAGGGGTTGTGGTCGTGGATGGAGGGATGGACAGATCCAGGTGATGACGCGACCGTCTCGAGCGACTCGATCTGAGCACGGGGAGCAGGCCCGACGGCGGCCACCGAGGCTCGAAGCGGTGAGGGGGAGGAATGTGGGCCGTGCAGGTAGTCGAGTGCCCGCAGACCGAGCGGCCGGCGGCGGGAGGCCACCTGACAGCCACCACGAGCGAAGGCGGAGATGGGGTGGAGGGGCGGAGAAGCACACGCGAACGAACTTGGATTTGGATGGGAGATGCGCCATCTGCTATGAGGAGCCACCTTCGCCACTGCCGGCAGCCGTCGCCGGCGACAGCGGCGAGGTTGTGGTGGTGGGGATCTGTGGCAACTAGGGTTGGGGCGCCCCGGTGTCGCCCTACGAGCGACACGGGAGCGAGCAGGGTCCTTCCAGGTGCAAATCGCGGTTCATGTCATTGATGGCACGATTCCTGCATTCCTGCACACGGTTCCACAGCTGCTACGAGCAAAGACGTTGCGTGGCCATCGTCTTCAGCACCGGTCTTCGCCTCCGAGTGCCGTTTCTAGCAGCAGTGGCAGACCTAGAATCTCAATCCTTGGGTGGCACGGTTCAAAATTTGTGAAAATTTACGCTATATATAGTATAATTTGGTCTGAACGTCATCGTAATTTCAACAATTAGTCTTAAATAACATCAACTTCTTAGATATTTTTTCACACAAAAAAAACTTATTAGATATGTAGTGTTGAGTACAATGTAAAAACTATTTTGCGGTGGACTCCAGATCTGGAACGGCAAGGGCGTTGGGACGTGGATCCTCTGACTTATAAATCCCTGCTATACCCTGCCTTTGAGTCACTGACAGGTGGGCCCCATGCTCTATGGGGCCCATGTGCCAGTAACTCAAAGGTAAGCTAGCCTACGACAGGGTATCCTCGTCCTCGCAATTGCTGGTGGTGGCCAAGGCCACAACGACATCTCCATCCTTGATGGCAATGGGAGGCATCTCTCCTCCTCACATCGGATGCCCAAGCCGTTGGCTTGCTTCCTCCCTTCCGGATGGTGCTGCTCCGACGGTTTTCTAAGGCTATGGATATAGCCAGGGAGAACCCCTGCATGGAGGCCGTTGCAAACAACGACGACGCTTGTGAGTGTTGCATCCGCCTTCGAGGCATTGTCTTGGTCATGTTCGTCTCTGGCCACCCCTATGCCCGCTCGCCTGGCACGTCCGTCTGCCGTTGCTCCCGCCAAGGTCCGTGGCCACCAAGTGCTCCATGAAATGCCATCAAGGTAAAAAATTTATGTCTTTTCATTTCACCTGATGCATTGGTGATTATTTGCGGCCGTAGGGTGATGTTGTCGATGTTGCGGTGGAGATGAATGCAACTGAATTCTTGTCATCTTTGGAGGAGTCACACATTCTTGACCTTCATGATCCCCGCAACAAAGATTCTATGTTTGCTCAACAAGAAGAGGCCGAGGAGGATTATGAGTCCAAAGTGGAGGAAGAGGAGGTCGATGATCCCATGGAGACACAATCAAGCATGAAGGCACCATCAAGGTCGAGGACACACAATTATTGCCAATATGAATATATTGCTCGATGAATGTGTCGTTTGATGCATCGGCTAGCACAACTCAATCAAAAGAAGAGTTTTGGGGTCGGATTGAAGAGTACTATAGCACCATCGTGAAAGTCCCATCAAAGCGCACCCAAGGCTCTCTTAGGCACCATTGCAGTACCATCCAAGAGCAATGCAACTGATAGTCCAGTTGTATTGCTCAAGTCAACCATGCGCCACCGAATGGGGTCCAAATCTCGGTGTATGGGCCTTATTTTAGGATTTCCGTCGATGCGCTTTCAGTGGGAGGAGACGTTCCCGTTGACGACAAGGTGCCTACGGTGACTTCATAAATCTCAAGATGATATGCCGGCTCAGTCTCTCGAAGGTGCTCATAGAGATAGGGTGTGCGTGTGTGCATTCATAGGGGTGAGTGTATGAGCGCTTGCGTCTGTACTGTGTTTAAGAGAAAAAAGCAACACAAGAAGAAGAACGGTGGCAAGGACTTCATATTGCACCATTGCTACAAAGAACTTACCAACAATGAGAAGTGGGTAGGAGCTCCTAGACCACACCGAGGAGGTCAATGATTAGCATATCCGTTGAAGCTGATGACGAGGAGGATGAGAATCCCAACAAGAGGTCGGATGGTAACAGGATTGCAAAAGAGAGGAAACGAGAGAGGAGCCTTCAGTGGAACCTACAAGGAAGAGCTTGTGGCCATGGTTGAGACCAAGAAAGCATTGACGGCCGAACGCAAAGAAGAGAAAGCGGCAAGGTGGAACGAGCTCGAGTCTTTGGATGATGAGAAATGGAGGTCGAAGTTGGCGCCCGAAGAGAGGAAGTTGAAGGCGGGAGAGCATAGGCTTGCATTCGAGGAGGAGAGGCTTGTGAAAGAGAAGAAGGCCGAAGAACGATCATGAACCAAACAGAGGTCTCTCTTCGGAATGGTGCTGGTGGCCGTGTGGATAGTGGGGGTGATCATGTTTATGGTGGTGGCCGTGAGGATGGTGGTGTCCTTGGAGGTGGTCATGATTTCTTTGGTGATGATGGTGCTTGAGTTCGTCTTGCATGTGTTTGGTTCAGTTCGATCCACATATAAGACATGCTATGTTATGGTGATTTTGGATCAAACTTGATCGATGTGGTACCTTTTGGATGAATTCTATGCATGTTTTAATTTGAATTGCTCGATCTGTGCAACTGTATGCATGTTCATGGTTGATTTATTTTGTACGTTAAATTTGAATCATTCAAATGATTGATGAAATAGTGTGCATTTGTTCCCTTTAAACCCTTATTAACTTATAAGGAGTTAATATAAGGGATCGGCTAGAAACGACCATCCTTTAAATCCTTATTAACTTATAAAGAGTTAAAGATACTCGGTTGTTTACTTCTCTAAATTATAAGGGGTTGGTTAGAGACGCTCTTAACCCGTTAAGCTCTTTTGTTTGGGTGACGTCTTCTACGACGATGTATCTTTTCTCTCTTAATGGATCGACATGCCGATTTCCTGTATGGTTCACAAATAAAAATTGCTCTCACCGACACCCGGGTTGCCCTACCAGTTACATCGTCCCCGACCGCCAGTCTAGCAACTCGTGATGAATGTCGATAATTAGTCATGAGACAAACTTCCCAGATTCACAGTTCACAACCTTTCAGTTGAGTTTTGACTTGTGTACACTTAGAGCATCTCTAGTGGATGGTGTATATGGAGGTGGATGCTAAATTTACACTATCAAGATCAAAAAAGCCTTCCCAGTGGATCGTGTATCACGTCGTGCACATATACACGTCGCTACCATGAGCGTACCTGGCGTGGGAGTAAAGACGACCGAGCCACGCTCGTGGGCTCGCGCTCCCGCTCCCAGGACCGGAAAAAAGACTCCCGCTCCCGCTCCCGTTCCTCTCCGGCCGCCTCCCCAAGGTCGTCGTCGCCCCTCTCCGGTCGCCGTCGCGTCTCCTCTCCAGCCGCTGCCCAAGGTACCCATTTTTCCCTTCCTCGCG